AAAAACCGTAATTTTGCACCTATTTTGTTTAATAACTATTACAGCGGCACTTTGTAGGAAGTCGACTTTTTACCATATATTATTGATACAATTTAGAAGAAATTGGCAAAAGTCGACCCTGTTACAAAGAATTCCGAAATTGATTCCTTATTTTACTGGACTAGAAGTGCATAGCAGCGAAGTAACTTATTTTGATCGGCGGACGTAAATTTATTTGTTCGATTCGTTGTAAAATCACGTTACGGCGAAGCATTTTGTAAGATTGATAAACTGCGAGTTTAATCAGTGAGAAGCATGCAACAAATGAATAATGACACGAAGGGGTGATTAATGTATATGTATCTTCGGTTAAACGTGAGCAGCGTAATAAATAATTATAAAGTGATATACCTCTGTTTTTTAATTAATATATCAACGTGTGTGTTTTTTGCTTAGTTTCCGTTAATTATATTCGCTGCCGCAATGTCTTCTTTTGTTCCTTTCCAAAAAAGAGATTTTATCCTGCATGTCTTTGTTGTAATTATGCCATGAGCCACTATCTTATCCGTTAAAGAGAGAGAAAGAGAGGGAGAGAAAGCGAGGGAAAAAGAGAAAAAGAAAGTTTCGTCACTGCGAAGGTCTGGCCGCTAGTTTGAATATTACTTTCACAGAATAGCGCGAGGTGAACTTTATACCGGCGCAAAAATGTACTGGACTTCGTTGATGAGATCGCGGAATATGATTATAAAATAAGCGGGGAACGTTCCGCGCGCGGACGCGATCGCGACATACCTTTACGGCCGTTATATACCGAGTAAATTAACGACACGCGACGGTTAGACGAAACCCGTGGAATTAATTAGTGCTCATAATTGCGCTGCTCAGCGTGCCACTCCCTGCATCTCCCGACGTATCACACTGACCTTTCTTGCCGCGTTTCTTCTTGTTGTACATTCTCATTAAATTTACCCTCAGTAGCGATCTTATTTCAAACTGCTACTTTAATTCCCTCTCGAGGGACGTCGACGTTGTCGACGTTACAGCAGCTTTCGATAAGGTTATGCTTAATTAATCTCATGAGATCCTCGCAATTTCCAGTATTTTTCATATATCCTTTATAATTCTACTCGGAATTAACCAATATTTATAAGACCGAAATTTCGCCATTCTTTTTTAGCTCAAGAACCTATCGTATAGTCTGTATTCTAAATAAATAAATAAATAAAAATATTGAATTCTCTGTACTCTAAAAATAATAAAAAGTATATTCTGTTGCTTTATCTCTTTTATACACACGAAAAGGAAAACATGGAATGTATAATACTCCCATGAAAAATGAAGATTTATATAGGATTGATAAATTAATGTATTAATGTATTTAAAAGTCACCATAGGAAGATCAAATTAGTAGATTGGAAAATATTGTAAAACTATCTATATATCTATATATTTAGACAACCATATCCAAGATTTTTAGACATTTTTAGAAATTTCATAATTCTTATTGTTAGTATGTGATTTAAAATGAATGCAACCAAATTTGTTGACAGCTTTATTATTGATAAATCATTTAATAGTTTGTTACGCTTCTCTTTTGTTTTATTTCTACAATTTTTTTAATAAATAAATTTTCTACTAGTTCTCTGCAAGTGGATTTATACATGCCTGAATTTGTCTGTAATTACAAATAAATCTTGTTTCGAAATGTATTTTCGATTATAAAATCTGGATTTTAATCTCACTAAGTTCATAGCGTTTTTGAAATTTTAAAACGTTAATTTGCTAAAACAAATAGAATAAAATAAAAAAAAATCTAGTACAAAGTTTCTAAAAAATAGATATGTTTTGCTAATTTAAAACTGACGATAATCAATTTGAAAATAATCCGATTTATAAAAACAATTATATTCGAAGAAATAAATTCCAAGAAAGTATAAATGGGTATCGACTAATTTCAAGAAATCCTTTTGAAAAACGCTTTTTAGAAATATGTTAATTAATAGGGTGTCTAATAATTTTTGACAAGGCCATAAATGATAAATAACGAAGTAAATGAGACATTTCTCTGCCTCTTAAGAATCTTATATTCACTTACCTGCCGCACGGGACGAGGCGATACGAAATCATCTGCGATACTATGCAGATGCGCTGCCATAAAACGAGCCAGCATTGAGGCATATATTATTAGAAGGTATATCTCCCTGCAGCTATATAGCCTCTCCTTCGATATATATCAGATCGGAACTGATTGACGCTCAGGGATACACCCGAGTTAATTACGAAATCTATGCGAACCACAGACGCGTTCTAAGCTGTCCGGTCTAAGCTGCCATTATAATTAATTAATTAGTCGTGTGAGATGACTTAACGGATCGCCGGAGATACGCTAGGAAATTCCATTTGGCCGGAATGGCGGCTGAATCATAAACGAGATGATGTTTCATGATAGATGTTTCATGATAGATGCCCGATCATCGCGTTATTAATAAATTCGCATAAAATTAGGTACAGATAATGAATGTAAAGTCCGTAGTGCTAGAATTAAGCTTGTCTTATTTCTTTTATTACGGCAGTTACGCGCCTTTTGAGAATTTGCATTCTGCGCGAGTCGTTCCGCAGTCGTTCTGCACGAAATTAAAGTAAAAGATGAATTATTGTTAATTAGGTCTATTAATAAGGACCGAGGAAATTGTAACAATAATTGAAACACTCAATTTACAGCTTTGTGGGGTACTTTTATTAACCGAAAGCCTAGGCTATAATAAAGAATGCTATGTGTATACATATCCTCTATCTATATACAATAAACCGATTTTCTTTTCACGTTACTCGATACACAGTTAACATTTTCTTTTTTTTTTCTTTTTTTGGCAACTTAGATTCGATTATTCCTTCTTCTTCTTCTTTTTCTTGGCAGGAATCACACTTAGTCTTTCACAGATTCAAGAGTTCGAATGCGTTTCGTTCCGAGTGTCACGAGACTGCGCGTCCGCCCCGTGACGTGATATTATCAAAATCGAAGAGGCTAGATCACGCGATCGTTCGTTAAAATCTTTCCTACGCGCGATGGATTTGAAGGACGATGGTCGCCGACGTTCTTTCATCGTGACGTTTCTTCTTAATTAACGCTAGTGCTGGATCATTAGAAACTATCAATACGAATAAGTGTAATATTGCTTGCGCAGCACTATAAAGAGACGAATCTCACGGAGATACACGTCCCCGCGGGCATCGATCGTTGGGATACCGCGAGGGACGCGTCACCTTGCATATTTACAAAAAAGTGTCGCGCCAAGTGTACGATACGCAGAGGAGAGTCTCGGAATTGTGGAAGGAAATTTTAAACGGCGTAAAAAATCAGTCTTCGTACGAGGAGAATTCGAAGTTTTCGAGAGAGTTAAGAGAGAGAGAGGATCGATAGCGTCGTTGTGCTCGGTTGCTCGTTTCGTAAAAGCAGCGGAAATGTTCGCCGATAACAGCCGGCGGTTCTTTCTATCCCATCCGGCGATGGTGTACATCGTAAAAAAGGAAGGAAAAATCGTAAAGAGTAATCCGCTCCGGTAAAATCCCCTGTCAAAATGCTAATATTATCGCGTACGTTTGATTTTCTCGCTGGCAGTCCTTTTGGACCTCGCGCGAAAATGTTTCTCCCCCAGCCCCCCACCCCCCCCTTCCTTTCGGCACTAGTTTCGAAATGACGTGACGTGCCGAACGTCGTGCGTACTGACGTTCGCCGATGCGTGGATGATGAGATTTAAGCCACTCGAAGGACGTTTCTTTTCTTTTTCTCACACGTGTGAAAGTCACGCGCGTTTTACACACCCCCTGCAAAAGCGATCGCGGGTGAGACGCTTTGTGAATTGTACGTAGAAACACGTATAGGTGGTTATTTTTGGCACTTTGCTAACAATTCGAATTCCTTCGTGCACGAGGTGAGCTCAATCGCGGAAATATTGACGTCGCGGTCACGTTCGACGGTGTACGGTACAAAAATCTCCTACGTCGAAATACGGTGTTGAAATATGTTATTGATTAAAAAATTTTTGCCGATTCAGCCGTGACGCTTAATTTTTTATTTTCTATTATTTCCTACATGCAAGTCGAACAGCGTGGATTTGTCACGTGGATTACGTTCGCGGAGTGAAAAGAAATTATGTCGACTCGTGACGGCCGCGGATCATAAAAGCCACGATCGCGTCACAAATCATCGTTCCACGATGTGATCGACATAATCGACGGTTTCTTATTCGATTACTTCGAAGCGCGCGTTAAAAGTTCAAAAGACTCCCGATACCAGCGTGCACGCGCGCGCGGCCCGTCCCGTTCCTCGTCACTTTTTCCTGTCGACGACGCCGGAAGAAGCGTCGTCGACACGACGCCCGTCGTCGCCCGTCGCCGTCGCCGTCTCCTCGTCTCGCGGCGCGCGATTATTAGCTGTAGATACTCGTGCAAGTCGACACGGTTTTCATCTCGATGTCATGTTGAGCGGTCTCTTTACGAGACTCCTTCGCCTTCTGCTACGAGCCGAGGGGCGGCGGGCCGATGTTACTGATGAAACTCGGACAGGCGTTCTCCGCCCTGTCGCCGCTCTGCAACGAGAAGTGCCTGTAGGACATGTACTCGGGCGGATTCGAGGACAACGGCTGATCCCGCTTGATCGTCGCCCGCTGCTTCTTCATTTTCATGTAGCCGAGAACGGAGATCAGCACCACGAAGACCACGAAGCCCATGCAGCTGCCCACGATCAGGCCCAGCCGTCTTGTGAGGATATTGGCCAGGCTGCCCCTGTCGCTCACCGTGCCGTCGCCCACTATCGAGTCGGGCGCGTCCAAAGTTCTGACCTCGGTGCACCGACTAGTGAGCGAGTTCACCATCACGGGCAACGAGGATCCCTCGATCACGTCGTCGTGCGAGGCGTTCCACTGCCAGGAGCCGATGTCCTCCGGGATCGGGGTGCCCCAGCTGCCCAAGCCAAGCACGCAGATCAGGTAGCGCGTGTCAGATGCCAACTTCGTCAATCTCACCGAACGTGCCTTTGGATCTAGCAGCTTACCACGAACCTGAAACCCCGGCGGAAACGTTTCGCCATCAACATTGCGCGGGCTTCCAGCCTCCGTGCGCCGAGTAAATAAGAAAAATAACCGTTCGGGAAAAAACGGAGAAATAATATGCAGCACATTTTAGCCTGTATGTAATAAATCTGAATGAACCACCATGCAGAAATTTTTAGAATATTTTCAACATTGTGCTACATTTTGTAAGAGAATGTAATGTAAATGAACGTTTATAACTAGATAAATTTTACAAATTTTGCAAATAGCTACAGAAATCAATAATTTTACATTATACATATATAATGTATAATTATTGCAACTTTAAATAAATTAAAGTTACAATAATTTACATAATTAATTTACAATAATCACAATAATTTGAAAGTTTTATATATATATATATATATATATATATATAATATATATTTGAATTAATAACAATGTAATAATAAAAATGCAATCTAAAAATATGTAGCTTATAAAGGAATGTTGGATTTATGTATAAATTGCTATTTATAAATTCCATCCATTTAAATTTATTTACAAATTGCTGGACAGCGTATAGTTCTTTTCGTTTAATTTGACGTTTCCATTCTACTCACTTTATTCAACGTAGCGTAAAGTTAAGATTTTTCCTAGCACAATAATAAAAACCTCTTACCTCGTCGACGTTGTCCAAGGCGTGATACGCCACTTGGTATCCGTGGAGGCCGGAATGATTCCTGCTCTGCCACGATACCAGAACGGAGAAGGGCTGAATGTCCTGAATTGCGAGTTTCAGGACCAGCGGAGCGGAACAGAAGGCGTGGGGGTCAAGATCGAGGAAGACGAGACCCCGGAGTTCGGGTGGCTGCTCGCATCTTAACAAACCGCCCTCGACGTCACCGACTCCGACACCATTTCTTCCGCGGCTACGACCACCGCCGACTCCACTCACCAATTTCTGATGGTCTCTCAACCATTCCCACAATTCTTGCGACTCGCAGCCGCAATGTAACGGGTTCTCTGATGAGAGAAAATTTGCCATTGTTCGCGACATTCATCTATTCATCAAGATTAGTTTAAAAGGTATGTTCAATATTTCGAAGAACGTTTAGCGTCGATGGTGGATAATAAAGTATCGTGCTAATTAACACATTGTTGACGAGGCGTTACAGAAATTAATAACGCTCTAATAACGCAAATGACCAACTATTTTTCACACAAGCTAATTCAATGGGAACAAAATTATACTTATAGCTTAATTCAAAATTAAAACAAAAAGAAAAAATCCAGTCACAACAAAAAGCAAATATAATCACAAGTTTTACAAAATATTCTATAATAAAAATTTTATCGATTTTAAACTCTAACAACTTCGCACGATGATTTATGCTTTTTCAAACTCATCAGTGATCAATAACGTTCCGGCAACAAAAGACAAGCTAATATGTCTCCAGTCAATAATGTGTTAATAAATTATAATTAACATCACAAAAATATGATGATTTTCCAATATCAAATATTTGAATATAAATATTTGATAAAATACTAAATTATTTTGTTGTATATTTTAAATAAAGCTGAATAATGTATGTTTGAATTATAATTTGATAACAGATTAAAATTTATTCAGTTAGCGCGAGAATATTTGTAAGTTATATAAGTGTAACACAAAAAGAAATTTTTTATTATCTTTTATACGGTCCTGCTGCTTTTAATGAGATATATTCGCTTTTCCCGGTTATTCAACCGGAAATTCAATTCACAAACACATAATTAAAAATTCACGTATAATAAATGTAAGTATTATAATAAATATAAATCCCATTTATTCTCCCGCGTGTCGTAATTGACTAAAATTAATTACAAACCTCATGCATTAACAATAATTAAATTTTATAATTCCGGTTCAATACTTTCCAATTAGCATAAAACATATCCGCCTGATTCATGGATAAATGGATTAACGGAACGATATTTTACTGCCGTATGGTAATATATGCCATGGCATCTCTCGAATCTTTTTGTTACATTTTATCTCTTTTTGTTAAAAAAAAAAAAGAGATATACATACGTAATTTTAAACAAGCTCCCGAGATATATTAAAACGTGAAAAAATTCAAATTCGCGAATTCCGCTGAAGGAAACGAGTTATGAAAACTTCCGTTCGATTGTTTCAATGTTGAATATTGATTAGAGATATGGCGATACGTGACCGGCGATACGATTCAAGTAGTATAGTAACTTCATTCGGATCGAAACTCCTTCCTTCCCCTCTCCCACCCCCCCCTCCCCCTCTCCCTCGTGCCGTATATACGAGAGAAAACTCTTGTATATCGTTTTCTTTCGCTCTCACAGCCATGCCGTTGCTCTCGTGAAAGAATGAGCGGGAGCTCGATATACGAGCACGAAATTAATTACAAATACTAGGCGCGTTTAAGTAGCTCACCTTCAGCCCGCAAGCTCCTTATTTGCGTCTCGAGTGGCCGGAAAGCGTTCAGCGGCAGGTTCTCCAAGTAATTCCTACTCAAGTCAAGTAGACGTAACTTCTTCAGGGGCCTAAATGCCTCGCTGGAGATGGCGTTTATCCAGTTACCATAAAGATGCAGCTCGACCAGGCTAATTAAATTCTTGAACGTCACTTTGCCGACGATGCCGATCTGATTGTAGGACAGGTCCAGTATTTGAAGGGACTTGAGATCCTCCGGGAATTCCTCCAGCTCCTTCAGGCGATTGTGCGTCAGGTTGAGTATCCGTAAATGCTCCATGCCCTGCAGCCGCTCCTTCGGCAGTATCTCCAAGCTGTTCATGCCGAGGTGGAGGGTGAGCAGATTCGGGAGGCTGCGAAACGCGCCCGGCGACACCCGTAGGATGCAATTCTGGCCGAGGTAGAGGTGCAACAGCGCCGGGAACGCCTCGAAATCCTGCGAGGTCACTATGCTCAGATTGGTGCCGGAGATGTGCACCTCCTGGAGAATAGGGTACATCGCCTCCGACGGCAGATCGTGGATTCTGTTTAGAGGGTTCCGCGTGAGATTCAGCCAGGCCAGATTGGGAAGATTCTGACCCGAGAGAGCCACGGCGGGTATCTGTCGGAATTTGTTCTCCGACAGGTCGACTCTGCGCAGCAGGGACGAGTGCGCGAAGAAGTTCGCCGGCAGCGCGTTCAAATTGTTGTGGCTGAGATCCACGGATATCAAGCGCGACAGATTGGCCATCGCGAAGCCGGACATCGTCTCGATCTTATTGTGGCTCAGATCCAGCTCTCTCAGATGCCTCAAGCTGACGAAGCTGGCCAGGTCGACGTTGAGAATCTCGTTGGTCGAGAGCGTGAGGATCTCGAGATTCAGGGCGCTCGCGAGCGCCGAGTACGGGATGGTCTTGAATTGATTGTGATTCAGATGTATCTCCCGCAGCGACAGTAACCGGTCGAAGATATTCGGCGGCAGAGCACTCAGGTGATTATGGTTCAAGTCTAGGCGCGCCAGATTTCGATTCAGCACGAAGATGTTATCCGGCAAATTGCTTATTTGCGAGCTGTCCAGGAACAGGTCCTGCAGGGAGGGCAGCCCGTTGAAACAGTGCTCCGTGATCTGACTGAAATTGTTGCCGGACGCGGCGAGTGTGCGAAGACCGGGGACGTGCAGACGCTGCAGCGCTATCGCCGTGAGGAGATTGTCGTCCAGGTTGAGATCGAACAAGTTGTTGAGCCCGCGAAAGACGCCGCTTTCTATCGTGGCTATCGAGCAGTTCTTCAAATTCAACGTTTTGATCGGCAGGTCCTCCTGAAAAATCGCGTCCTGCAAAACGGTGAGATAATTATTCGCCAGGTCCAGCACCTTCAGCTTCTTAAGTGCCGTCAACGCGAAAGGATCGAGCCTTCTCAAGCCGTTATCCTGCAGATACAGCTCCTCAAGCTCGTGCAGCTCCGAGAACGTCTTCGCCGTTACGTGACTCAGTTTATTCATGCTGAGCTCGAGAAATTTTAAAGCCTGCATCGGCTGAAAGGCGGCGTCCTCGATCCTGGATATGGAATTGTTCGTCAGATAAAGGCGCTCCACCAGAAGAAGATCCCGGAAGAGAGGAGCTTGCAGGTGTGTGAGCTTGTTGTGGCCGAGCCACATAATTCTGACGGACGCTTGGCCGCGCAGCGAGTCATTGTGTAGAACAGCCAGGCCGTTACTGTCCAGCTGAATGGACACCAAAGAGCTCCCGCCGGAAGACGATTCCGAGGCGGACAGCTGAAAGACGTCGCCGAGCATGGTCAACTGATTGCCCTGCAGATTAACGTGCTGCAGGCTATTGAGCGTCCTCAGCGCGCCCGTCTCCATCGAGGTGATGGCGTTGTTTTGCAGATGCAGCTCGAGGAGCGACGGCAGCGGCGTGAAAACGCCGCGCTTCACCTCCGTTATATGATTATCCTGCAGCCGCAGCTCGCGCAATTGATGCAGCTTAAGGAATGTGCCCGGCTGCAACTCGCGGATCTTGTTACCGTCCAGGGAGAGCGAGGAGAGGTTCTCGCAGTGCTCGAGGAATTCCCGCGGCACCTTCTCGATGTAGTTGTTACTCAGATGCAATTGCGCCAGCTGCGTGAGACTCGTGAGACCCTTGGCGTCGATTCTACGGATGGCGTTCTGCTGGAGATACACCACCGCGAGGCTGACGCTGCCAGCGAACGCATCTCCCGGGATCTCCAGGATATTGTTTTCCGCCAGATAAAGTTCCCGCAGCTCGGGCAGCCGCGCGAACACGCCGCCGATATAGTGAATGTGATTGTGACTCAGCTCGATCGTGCGCAGCCGTTCGTTCCCCTTGAACGTCCCCACGTCGAGGAACACTATCTTGTTGTGGCTCAAATCGATCGACTCTAGATCCTTGAGCGACGCGAAGGCGTCTTTGTGAATGCTCTCGATCGAGTTGTAGTAGAGGGACAGGGTGTGAAGGATGGGGCAGGGCCTGAAGCAGTCCTCGGTCAGCTTCTCGAAATTGTTGCTGCTCAGATCGAGGATCAGCAGGGAGCTGAGAAGGCTGTAACCGTCGTCGAGCAGCTCCGATATCTCGTTCCACGCCAGCCTGAGCGAAGCCAAGCTCTCGAGTCGTCTCAAGGGAGCCATGGGAAACAGCTTCAACTTGTTCTCAGCCAGATCCAAATCGCTCAGGCTGTCCTCGAGGCCCGCGAACGCGTATTCGGAAATTTTCGATATTTGATTACCCTTCAGCGTCAGCTTCATCAGCTTCAAGCCGTAAAAACAATAGGACGAGAGATCCTGTATCAAGTTCGTCTCGAGGTCCAGAGCGGCCAGCTTCCGTAGATTGGCCAACGATTTTTGAGGCACGTGGGGCAAACGGCCGGAGACCAGTGCCAGGGATTCCAGGCTGTCTTTCAAGTTCGTGAACGCGCTCTCGCTTACTTCCCGCAAAGATGAATGTGATATTTGAAGATGCCTGATTTGCGAGCCGGGAGGGAAGGCACCCTCCTTCAGCTCTTCGATGCTTTTGTCGAGCTCGTAAACACTCAACGACTGTACCATCGTGCCCGCGCCTGAAAACGATCGTAAAAAGGGCACGGCCATTAATTTCATTGAATCGCGATGGCATAAACTTTGGATTTGGCAGCATTGCCTGATTACACGTTTCATTAGTTTTATGGGGCGCATTACGGAAAATGGTTTTCTTCAATCGCGTCAACTTTAACCGTACGTTAAAACTAACATGGAAATGTAAGAAAACGCACGCGTATTAGTAGTTCAGCATTAAATGACGTGTGACGAGGAAGTTTAATAGAGCATTCAATCGATAGAGCATTCAATCGAATGCTTTTAAACATATTTAATCACGTTTAAATATTATAAAGAAAAATTATCACTGTGGTTATTATGGTCACAGTAATGTAATTTACTGTTTAATTCAAAATTTTAAATTTAATTTATTTAAATGTCTATTTAAATATATTTAAATGTAATCATAACCCCCATAAATTCTTTCACAGAAATATGTATTGCACTTACTTTAGAATTTTAAAAGTATCATTTATATATATAAACATAGATATGTTTATCTTTTCAATAGTAACTTCTAATGTTTATGTTTCAAACATTATTTCTTCACAATATTATCAAAATATTTTACATGCATGCCATAAAATCACATTGTTCACGTTACTTGACCATACCGTCAAGAATTCTTGAAGAATTCTCTTTTTCTTTTAAACATTTCGCTTACCACTGGTACTCAGCACGCCTTGTAGCGTGGTCCTTAGAGTCTCTTCCGTAGCGCCAGCGCATTCCAGAAAGAGACCGTCTTCAAAGTTATAGCAGGGACAGCCCGTTATTATTTCCGGCGGCGGACATTCGGCTATTTGAGCGACAGCGCCAAATGTAATAAAATTCTGAATTAACAGAATCTGAAGCACCATCCTCGGTATCCGCCGCCGATCTACAGCGTACGGGTGATCTACCCGTCGTTGCGGATCTCGCGTCATCGTATCGTCACATCCGTAATCCCGTCTTTCGCCTGACAGACCGCAAGAAGCTTTCTGTAACATGAAAATCACGAAAGAAATTGAAAACGAGTCCGCGACGTTACATCGAACGACGAGTTATATGCAACTTGAATTCGCAGCGTGCAACAAAAAAGTTGCAGCAACGTGTAAACTTTTTTTTCTTTATTTTAGATGTTAGCCCTACTCCCATTGAATCAAACTAAACATTGTATTTTTTAATAAATTGCAATTATTTCATTTGTATATGTTCTTATACGAAATAATAATTTAAAACGTTATCATCTTTGTAAAAATTTTCTTGACAAATATTTACAGCTGCCTTTGCCATGAGAGATTCTTGTCTGAATAAATCCACGCGGATAAAGTTAAACTTTGCCTGCCAGGCACCATGCAACGCGTGCTGGAGCATGTTTACGAAAAAGTACGGCCAAGCTCTCAGAATAGTGCGAATAGCTTCCTTGAATAACAAAGAGCGCACGTCTCGCTAAGACGGAGGTGCATACGAATACATGAGGACATAAAAATTATTTGACTCGTGTAAGAAAAAAATTGTGTTACCTTTGCAATCTCTTACAAGACAGAGTCGCCTTTTTCAATAGCAAAGAAAGCTACCTTCGTTGAAATAATTTCTGAATAATATATCTCTGTACATTTGTAAAAAATGTATTTCAAATATGATGTGTCCATTGTGAATAATTTAATAATCGAGCTGTGATTGTGATATTTATTATTCTCTAAAATATTGGTTGGACTCTTCGTGGTGATCTTTCATTATGACGATATCAAATTAAAGCTGGATTTAAGCGACTTTTTGAAGTATTTATGATAGGGAATATTGACGAATGTGACAGTTCGTAACAAGTTTGGAAACATATTTGACAATTGAAAAACGTAAACAATTCAAGATTGTATTTACACAGAAAAACAGAAGTAAATCTAACATAAAAATACAGTAAGCTTACATTCTTAGTTTTATTTTTTTAAATAAAATAAGTAAAGAATATAAATAAAAAATTTAGAATAAATTTATCTATGAAAAGCAAGTGTGCAAAATAAATTTTCATTTTTCAAAATCCACATTCTATTCTGTATCAATATTATTTAATAATAAACAATAAATCATGTCTTTCTCTCTTTCTATAAAAAAAATTATTCTTATATGTACAAAAAGCAATTGTTAATCGCAAAGCATTGTCTTATAATCCATTGTGATCATAACACTCATTTTTTATAAAACATTCGTTAGTAATCCAAAAATTTTCTTTTCTTTTCTTCCATTATCTGTCGTTTATTTTTATATCATCACACACTAATGGCACCCGTTACGGGTGATTAGATCGAGAATCGAAACCGGAACCTTTCCCTTGCCAGACGATTGCTTTTACCATTAAGCTATCCAGGTTCCACATGCTGATATTTTCACTCATTTATACATATATATTCTAACGGCGTCTACAATATATATATATATATACGTATGCGCCACAGCGATTCACACCATTTTAGAAGGAATGTCTTCCGTGCGATTGTGACGATAGAAATAAGGATATAGAAATAAAGCCGTAATGATATTTTACACTCTATGATGTTACTCTTTTTGCAATATTATCGTAATGCATTTATAATACGTAAAAATTTCTTAAAAATGAAATTATATAGGTGTATTTCTTTTTATATAAATTGGTTTCTTTTATTGAAAGCTACGTTAAGCAGAGAAAGCAGCTTTGCAACGCGTAAGATTCTTTTAATACGATTGATTTATATACATTTAGATTCAGTGAGGAACTAAGGGCAAGAATTAATCATATTAAAAAATTTTACAACAGCTTTTTGCAAAACTGCTTTTTCTGCTGAACGCAGCTATTTTGTGTATAAAAGCTGTATCGAGATAAGCTCATCGAAAAATTAATAATTCATGAGGTATTTCACATTTTATTTAGACTTTACTCCTCGCGCGTAAAAACTATTGTAGATAATGTTAGCAACTTCTCCGACCCAAAGTTTTCGTAGTTTACGTAGCAGCTAGAAAAAGTTTTCCGTACACAGAACTGCTCTTACTGAATATAACATGACACGAAGTTACATATACAAAGACAACGTTCTTAATTTGATAGTATCTATCAGGGGAATGCTATTCAAATAGACACGGCGACGTCGACGGTTGTCGACGATGCTAATGAGTTTCTGTCTAGATGACGGCTCGGTTTGAGTATACATATTGAAAATACACGCCGGGAAACTGTTGGTAAATGTGTCATCTGTATGAAGTTGCGCTTTCCGCAGTGCAGGGTACTCAATAGAGAGCGTAATACACGATATTTTCTAAATACGACATTGATAAATATGTCTCTAAAAGGTACGCCGTGGCCTCCTTTCTTATACTTCACAATTGGAAATATATCGGAACTGCACTGCTTCACTGATCGCAAAAGTATTATAATAAATAAGCTCGCCTCCTATATTATAGCGAACTTTCAATATGTTATGCAGGAAGGACGAACACCCCATAAAGCCTTTTTACGCGTAATCGAGCGGCGGCAATGGCCGATTCAGGAATCTGTATCACAAAGACGGTGTCTAGACCGAATCGATTTTTTTGCGAGCGCCAAAGCCGCGATATCGCGCCATTCACGCTCAAGTGAATCTACGAATGCCTCTCTTCCTTCTGACCCAGGAGGACTGGAGGATCTCGCGCGGCGAAAAGCCTCAATAGGGCCGCGCCGTCCTCGTCTACATTCATCTGCACGCTTCCGCGAGGCGTCGATGAGCACCACCATTATACGGATCGGGCGGTAAAAACATACACATCAAAAGAGACGTTTCATGGGGCGTGCGTGCCAAAGGCTTTAAAAACTCGAATCCAGTAAAGCGCGAGTCGACTCGCCGGAAAGCACTCGGAAGAGATCGTCGAGGAGGTCTTTCGCGCGAAATATGATTAGCTAAGTTTCGAAAGAGCTGCAGGTTGAGCGGTGTGCTATATGCGATCCGGATCTACTGGGAGATATTTTAGAAAATTATTTGACGAGAGTTCGAGGAGCTTTTACATTCGTCGAGAATATTTTCAGTGTCAAAGGTATTTTTTGGGCAAATAAAGAGTCCGTTAACATGACAGAAGCAAACAAACAGCAATTCCACTAATACATATTGTACGTACAAGTATGCGTAGGGTAACTCCGGTATATAGGCCGCACCTATTGGAAACTTAATTTATCAGGTATAATTATGTTTAAGGTAAATGAACTATACCAGTAAAAACTTTAGACTCTGTCTACTGCTATAAAAAAGATATTAGGAATCCAAAATATTTATTTTTTGTATTAAAAAAAAATTTTTTTTAATACAAAATTTTTTAAACTCTTGCATTTTTGCCGCATAAAAATAGGAGTGGGTTATACGGTTATTCACGGGTGTGGCATAAATGACTCAAAAAATATGCAAATAATCTAAATAATAACAGTAAATAACACGTGAAACGTAATTTGCATTTATTTATTAATAATAACTTATTAATTAATTATTACATTAATAAATACTTATTAATAAAAAACGTATTACAGATTATGAATAAGTACGTACATAAATATATATACATACATGAAAAATTATGATTAATGTATTATTAATATAAAGAGCGTATTATCACGTATTATTATTTACTTTTATATTTATAAGTAAATAATAGAGCGTCTGTATTACGGCATAAATTCCACGCGCTAAAAATGCCGTATATCCCAAACAGATGGGATATACGAGATAATAAATTAAACGAAGAATACGAGAGCTAAGCACTTGTATTTTGCTATACTCTATTCTTCACTATTCCTCTACACTTATATGTACCATGAAATAACCACGAAGCCTTTTATTTCCTACAATAATCATTTTATGTAGATTATAACTTATGATTGCGTTACTTATTACAGCGACAAATCGATTTAATTTATAATAATCTTATAAATATTAACAGTAAAAAACTGAAATCATAACACGATATTAATATAATATATAAAGGTATGTAACAGAGAGTAGTTGCGAGAAAATTACTTTCACTTCTTCTTCTATTTTTTTCTGACTTCTGCGGCGTAAATGCTCGCGCGGCGTATATATCGGAGTTACCCTAAATACGCGACACGCACAAGACAGCTATACGTACGCGCGAAGGCATCGTGAGGGTAAATGAGTCTCCGACTTGGAGGATAATCGTATCGGATCGTCTCTCGCAGTCTGTTTACTACCGCGGGCGAGAGAGTCAACGTACTCCGATTATTTCGCAGCGAGCGATTAAGGGCGGGATTCACTTGGAATTCAAGAAACGTTTTCAATTTGAACATTAATCTTCGTAGAGAAACGTCGGTTCGGTAGCGTTATATCGGAATCCCGGTTCAGCAGCTATCCGTTCCTTAAGTATTTCGATCGAGTGGCCGGAGCAAACTCCGATGGCCCTTCCCGGTACACCTTTCCGGTTTCTTATTCGCCCTGGGTGATCCCGGCGAATATGTTGTTCGCAGGGCATACACGGTTGCATTCCCAGCACGATCGCCATAAACGTTCCGTGCTGCAGGAATCTGGTGTACGACGCGCCATTAGTAAACTAAGATATCGCGACCGCGTGAAGCCTCTCGAGTTGGATTATTGGCATGTAATATTGACGGAATTAAATCACACGGCGGCAAATGAATTGGCCAACGATCCGTTCGAGCGCGCCGGCAACGGCAAAATTACCTACGAGCATTTATGAAAATGCATTTTCTTTAGAGTCGCTGTTTACTAATGACGTTAAATATATCTGATAAAATTTTAATTATTTTCCAATATTATTGTATAAAATTTTAATTATTTTCCGATTTTTCTTTATTACGTAGATCCTTACATCTATGTAAACAAATTCTTTTAATATTATATATTAAATTAATTAACATTAAATATCCTTATAGTCGTTGTTTATAATAACGTTAAATATATTTGATAAAATTTTAATTATTTTCCGCGTATTTTTATTTATTATGCATTACATATATATAAACAAATT